CGCTTCGCCAAGCAGGGTGCGGCTCTGGCCCGCGTCGTGGGCCAAAAGCGCGACGCGCCTATCGAAGGGCAGCTGAAGACGGGAAACGCGGCTGGCAGTGGCCTTCGCGGCTCCGCCCTGGTTTCGCAGAGGCGGGGTATTCGCGGACAAAACGTGACAAGGAGAATGCGATTCCTGGGATCACTTCTGTGGCCGCCAACGCGGACAATCACAATCTAGTTTACCTAATCTTGGGGGTTGGCTATGCCACGGGATGCGTGTGCCCGTGGAGCTTCTTGGCAGATGACTCTCAGATCAGCGCGGTCAAAGGCCGATGGAGCTTCATTGTATGGGAAGCGTGCCGCAGGGGCCGCAGTGCAACCAGAGGCATACATGAACATACACATGCTGAAGAGATCAGCCCAGTTGGACGACATGAGCCTCCCGTTGGAAGATCAGGCGCTGCCAACTGCCACTCTGTCAATGCCAGCACTGCGGTGGCTGCACAGCGTGGCCCTGTCTCGGGCAGGCGGGTGGCGACGCGGCCCAGGATGAAAAGCAGTGCGATGCTCAGCATCAGCGAAGAAACCCTAGGATACGATGTTAGCCCGCGTGGACGACACACGGTGTCTTCTGACATACTATGCGCGCGGAGCGAGAAGCCGTAAACGCCAGCACGGGTTCGGGCACTAGGATAAAACAACCGTGTCGTACACCGCGCCCACGTCATAGGATAAACATCGGGCCACATTCGTATCATCAACAGTGCACGGTTCGCAGTGCCTCCAGAATCTGCTGGCGCAAACCCTGTGCCGATACAGCCGCACGCGTTGCCATGTCTGCAGCCACCTCTTTCTTCAGCTTGTCTTTCCTATCATCGCCCTTGCCCACTCCAATATAATCCACATTCCCACTCTCTCACGTGGGGCTCCAACTATGGGAAGGAGGGTCAGGCAGGAGGACGGTCGGGGGTGGAGGATCCAGTGGCATTCCTGTACCAGACGCGGCATGAATAACCTGCCCGCATTTGCGCCCCGACCAGTCGCGTCCAGATCTGAGGCCACGGGTGCAAGAGCACCTATTGCGGACGACCCATCCTCACTCTCCCCTCTTCTATCCTCGTCCTCGTCATCCTCGTCGTCTTCACCCCTGCAGGCGTGGCAGGTCAATGCATTTTAAGTTCGGCAGGTTCGTTTCAGCAACAGACCTTCAACAATGCCGAGGGGGTTGCGGCAATGAGGCTGTGCCTACCAAACCGTGCGCATACCCTGGAACAGCCATCTTCCCTTGTCCTCCCTCCCTTCCTTAGCCTATCCCCCTCCTCCCCATCCCCCCTCCAACACTCCACTCTTGTGCGAGTTTTCCATGACAGTGCATGTACGGTCATCGCATGTACCACCGCCAGCTAATTCTGGGGCTTCTCAGGGTCACTGCTTGAGGTCCTTGATCGCAGAGCTCCAGAGCCCTGGGTTGGCGCAGCGTTCGAAGACCACCAAAGGGCACCACCGGCAGGGCCGACAGCGAGCCCCGCAATCGCAGCAGCACGTTCCCCTGTGCGCAATGCGGCGTAATATTTCCCATTCCATGCAGGGACCAACGGACGAATGACACCGGGACCGTCTTTCCTACTGGAGGTCTGGCAGTTCTCCTCAGGGGACTCAGAAGGAATCATTTTATTCTTCTTCGCTGCATGCGTGGGGAATCAGACAGGCCTGGGGGTTAGACCTAGGTGCTCAAGCAGGGAAGAGCCCTTGCGTACATGCGTGGCGCCTGACTGTCGGTCTGGAGGTGTAGGGGGTAGGGGAGACTGTCTTAAACATACGCACGCAGCATCGTCAGAATCAGCATCAGCATCAGCATCAGCATCAGCATCAGCATCATCATCATCATCATCATCATCATCATCATCATCAGCAGCAGCAGCATCATCATCATCATCATCATCAGCATCATCGTTACCAGTATCATCATCATCATCATCATCATCATCATCATCATCATCATCATCAGCATCATCATCAGCAGCAGCATCAGCATCATCATCCTCAGCAGCAGCAGCATCAGCATCATCATCAGCATCGTCCTCGACATCAGCATCATCCGCACCATAATCATCATAAGCAGCACCATCAGCATCAGCATCAGCATCAGCATCATCAATATCATCAACCGTATCATCATCATCATCATCATCATCATCATCATCATCAGCATCATCATCATCATCATCATGATCATCATCAACAGCATCAGCATCAGCATCATCGCCAACATCATCATCATCATCATCAGCAGCATCACCATCATCAGCATCACAATCATGATCAGCATCAGCATCAGCAGCATCAGCATCGTCATCCTCATCATCATAATCATCATCATCCTCATCGTCCTCGTCATCATCGACATCATCACCAGCATCATACTTAGCAGCATTATCATCATCAGCATCATGTGCATCAGCAGCAGCATCAGCATCATCAGCATCAGCATCATCAACAGCATCATCAGTATCAGCATTACTATCAGCAGCAGCTGCCGCAGAATCATCATTCTCATCATCATAATCGTCGTCGTCGCTGTCGACATAATCAACATCATCAGCAGCAGCATCAGCATCGCCGTCATCGACGTCGTCTTCATCATGATGGCCAGCAGCAGCATCAGCAGCACCAGCAGCATCCGTAGCAGCATCACCATAATCATCATCAGCATCAGCAGCATCAGCAGCAGCACCAGCATCGAATTTGTCGCCGCCGAAGTCGTCATAATCATCATCAGCAGCGGCAACATCATCGTCGTCATCGACGTCGTCTTCATCCGCATCATCATCAGCAGCGACAGCAGCAGCAGTGGCATCAGCATCAGCATCAGCATCATCATTATCATCATCAGCAGCAACAGCATCAGCCTCATCCTCAACATCGTCACCCACATTATTAATATCAACATCCCCACCCGCGTCCTCATTACCACCATCAACCACATCATCATCATAATCGACATAATTATCACCGTCACCGTCATCGTCATCGTCGTCGTAGTCGACACCGTCCTCTTCCTTCTCCTCATCAGCATCATAAGAATCATAATCATCATCATCAGGAGCATCAGCATCGTCGTCGTCGAAGTCGCCATACCAATGACTATCATCAGCAGCAGAAGCAGCAGCGTCGTCATCATCGTCATCGGCGTCGTCTTCACCATGAAAGTCAGCAGCATCAGCAGCACCAGCAGCGCCAGAATCATCATTAGCAGCAAGAGCATCATCATATTCATCAGCATCAGCATGATCATCGTTATCATCAACATCAGCATCAGCATCATCAGCATCACCATCATCATCAGCATTCACATCAGCATCAGCATCATCAGAATCTTCGCCATCGTGGTCGTCATCATCATGATATTCTGCAGCAGTATCATCGTCATCGACGTCGTCTTCATCATCATTAGCAGCAGTAGCATCAGCATCAGCATCAAGATCACATCCTCATCCTCAGCATCGCCATCATCATCATCACCCTCATTATCATCATCCTCAGCCTCAACCTCATAATCACATCATCATCATCATCATCATCATCATCATCATCATCATCATCATCATCATCATCATCATCATCATCATCATCATCATTGTCGTCGTCGACGCCGTCCTCCTCCTCCTCCTCCTCAGCATCATCATTGAGAGAGCGTGATCCACCGCCGCTTTACTGTGGAAAATTGCCGCCTTTTTCCTCCGGAGCCCGGAGGTCCCCCCCCCCCCTCCGAAAATCCCCCCCCCCTGCTGGACCCCCCCCCCCTTCCCCCGGCAAAACCCCCCCCCCTCCCCTAACCCCCCCCCCTCGAACTCGAAAACCGGGGGGGGTCACTACCGGTTCGAACCCCCCCCCCCTCGAAAACCCGAGGGGGGGGGTCACTACCGGTTCGAACCACTGAGCTCTCCCACTGTTCCCACCACTGTCCCCACTGTCCCCACCACTGTACTGTACCTCTGTCCCATTGTCCCACCGCCGTCCTCGCCACCGCCTTCACCACTGTCCCCACCACCACTGTACCCTCCACTGTCCTACTGTTTCCACCACATTCCCACTGTCCCCACACCACTGTCCCCACCACCACCGTCCCCACCACTGTCCCACTGTCCCCACTGTTCCCACCATTGTCCTCACCATTGTCCCCACCACTGCCGTCCCCACCACTGTCCCACTGTCCCCACCACTGTCCCGCTGTCCCCGCACCAGTGTCCCCACCACCACCGTCCCCACCACTGTCCGCACCCCCCTCGGTTTTCGAGGGGAGCGGGAGGGGGGGGGGGGTTCGAACCTGTAGTGACCCCCCCCGGTTTTCGAGTTCGAGGGGGGGGGGGGGTTCGAACCGGTAAAACTCCCCCCCCTTTTCATGATGAACGGGGGGGGAAGGGGAGGGGTTCGAACCGGTAGTGACCCCCCCCGGTTTTCCGAAGGGCGGGGGGGGAGGGGTTCGAACAGGTAGTAACCCCCACCCGGTTTTCCGCCAGCAGCGGTAGAACACGCTCTTTCTCATCATTAACACCACCACCACAGCCATCGTCGTCGTCGTGGTCGTTGTCCTCGGCATCATTATCATCAGCTTCATCAGCATTATGATCATCATCAGCATCATCAGCATCAGAAGCAGCATCGGCATCGTGTGTATTACCACCACCCACATCACCACCATCAGCATCATCATCAGCAGCATCATCACAGGCGTTATTGTCACCATCGGCATCAGCAGCAACACTAAAAACAGCATCAACAACATCAACACCAACATCACACAGCATCAACAACAATAACAACGACGACAACAACTACAGCAACAACATCAACAACAACAACAACAACGACGACAACGACAACATCATCAACAACAGCCACCATCACCACTACCGCCAACAACAACATCATCATTACAACCATCTTACTTCGCGTGTTCCTCTTCATCATCCTCTTCCTCTGCGTCATCATCCTCTTCATCAAACTCCTCCTGCGCGCCTTCACCAACTCCCGCGCTTTGCGAAGGTTGTGCCTGGGAAGTCGGGGAAAGAGATGGTGCTCGATCTGGAACTGCAGACCGATGTGCACCTGGGACACTGCTTCTGAGGGAGGAGCGTCAAGGAAGGGAGGCGGTCCAGCCCCCCAAAAAATGAAAGCGGGGCGTGCAGCGAGAGGGAAACTGGAACAACAATTCACCGACCCTGTCGGCGTGTGTGAGAGGCTTTTCCGTTTGAGTCGTCGTCGTCGTCGTTTTCGCCGTCACCGCTCACCCTTGTCCCTGTCCATGGTCCCTCCTGTTCAGACGTTCCAGCCACAGAGAAATCCAGCAACGTCGTCATCGAGTCGAAGGGAAGCCCCGCGAGGGGGGGGCTTCCCGCTGGGAGGGGGGGTAGGAAGGGCCTTGAGGGGTTGGAGAGGGGGGCGTTCGGAGTTGTGACCCCCCCTCGAGGGGGAACACACCTCCCTGGCAGAAGCTTTCCCCTTCGATCCCTTGCCTCCCAAACGCCTCGGGCCCCCCGTCCAGGGTCGGCGGCACCGGCCGTCAGGTCTTCACAATAGGAAGAAAAAGAAAGAGAAAGAGAGAGAGAGAGAGAGGAGAAGAGAGGAGAGAGGATCGCGAGCAGACAGGGAGAGGAGGAAACGAAAACGCAAATAGGACAGTGCGGAGGCAAAGGGAGTAGACGACGAGTGGGTTGACGTAGGAGACGAGACGAAATGGAGAATAATTACAACAAAAGAAAGGGGAAGCAACGATCTGGAGACGAGAGCGGTAACGGAGAAGGGGTGAGAGCAGATGTGCAGACAAACTGGAGGGCAGGGCGAACAGGCCGAAGGCGAAAACGTCAATGCTCGCCGGGGATCGCCCGGACTCCTCTTCCGGCTCACTTCCGGGTTCGCCTGGGCCATCTTTCAACGTGTAGACTTCGACACCGTTTTTGGACACGCCCAGGAAACACTTTTGGACGATCCCGGGCTCAACTTAGACCCCCAAGCGGAACCCAAAACGGCCCAGAACAGGCCAGGTTTTTACCGGATGACGGACGGGGCTACGGCCCCATGCGGGGATGCTCGCGCTTGGGCCGTCCAGAAGCCCGCCTGGGCCGCCTCGGGCTCGTCTCGGGCCCCTTCTGGCCCTTCCCCGGGCCCTCTTCGGCACTCCTTGGCGCCATTGGGGCCGTTTCCGAAGCGTCTTTGGCTGGTCTTCGGCGCCGTTCTGGCTATCTCTGGCCTCCTACAGTGGATTAGGCATCCTGGGGGCGCCCATCCGGGCCATCCATCGGGAGAACCATCGAAAAACCATGCGGGCTGCCACGACGCCACCCATCCGGCCCACCGACGGAGCAAACAGAGGGCCAATCATCCAGGCAGCCATCGGGCAAACCATCGGACCCGCCGCCCCTCCAGCCATCGGGGGCGTCATGGGGACCACCACCCCGGCCACCCATCGGGACACCCGCAGAAAAAACACCGGGGCCCCCGCGATGTCACCCATATGGCCAAACGAACGCACACGGGCGACATAACAGAGGGACAACAACACAGACAACCTCGGGGCACAGGCCGCCCGCCCACCAGGCCAGAATGCCGTCTCTGACGCCCCCACAACGCCTACCCCACGACACCGCGACATGCGCCCACTGACGTTCCTCAGACGTCGGGGACGCGCGACACCCGATGCAGACCCATCCTTCTCTTGCCCGGCTCGCTCGCCTCTCCGCCGTCAGAGGGGGCAGCGAACCATCCATGCACGTGTGTACCAAAGCTGAGACAGGCCAGAATGCTGTCTCTGACGCCCCCACGACGTCCACCCTAAGACACCGCGCCGTGCGCCCACTGACGTTCCTCAGACGTCGGGGACGCGCGACACCCGATGCGGACCCATCCTTCTTTCGCCCGGCCCGCTCGCCTCTCCGTCGTCACAGGGGGCAGCGCGCCATCCATGCACGCGTGTGCCAATGCTGAGAGCGACGAGAACGACTGCGGCAGGAAGGGGTTTTCAAGCCATGGAGCCATCACATCACGCTACCCGTCCACATCGCGTCGCGCTCCTCGGCCGACCGCGCCGCGCGGCTCGGCCGCGCGCGACAACGTCATGCAAAAATCTTCGTCCGCCGTCGCGACCTCCTGGACACTCTGCCCAAGTCGACGAGGTCACCCGCCCGCTACCTTCTCCCCTGCATGCGTCTGCCTGGTACGCTCCCGCACGCCAATAAGACCCCTCTCCTAATCGCGCTGCCAGCGCACTTCCCCCCACTGGCCGGTTGTCGAATCCTCGCCCTTCCTGGACACCCCGCGCCGTGCCCCGCCTGCGCGCGCGCCCGCGGGCCCCGCCATAATAGGCTCACTCGCCCGCGGCCCTCCGCAGCCACGCGCGGCCGCTGCCGGAACCGCTCTCCTGGGGCGCGCCTCCTACGCGGGTCAACGCACGCGCGACAGCTCGCCCATGCCCGCCTGCCACTCGCTCACATTCTTCGGGTCGAACGCGGCCCTCCACCTTCACCGCCGCCGGGCTCGCTTGCAAGACGCCCGCCAGGATGCTCTTGAAATGCTCCGCCGGGTCGCCCGCGCCAATGTCGACGCCCTTCGCGACGCGGCGGCACTCCCCGAAGTCCGGCGATCCAGGGGCAGGCGCCGCTGACCCGGACGCCGACTCCGTCGGCGCGCGCCCGCCAGGGCCCCCACGCGCGACGAACCACTTCTGAAAGGGCTTCGCGCTCCCGCCGGATATCAAGTTGGCCTTGTCCTGGGCCGCCATCTCCACCGCGATGACCGCGAACGTCGATGGTCACGTCGGTGGCATTATGCCGAACACGGAGAACTTGGCCCCGCCCTCGTCCTTCACGGCGTAGCTGCATTTCATCGCGTCATCCTCGTTGATCTCCACGCCGAACACTCGCGGGGATGTGAATCACCAAGCTCGGCTTCTTCGTGGGCTTCTCGTAGTCCATATCTTCGAAAGTCGCCCGCCGCGCCATGACCTCATCCAGGGTCATCGGGACGTCCTTCGCCGGCTCCGCTGCGCAATCGGCGAAAATGGCAGCCCGATGTGCGCGGAAGTCCACCCTGTCCACATCCTTCCCCTTCTTGCCATTGTACCGGGATCCCATGCCCAGCTGGTCCTGCATGTTCTCGAGGGTGGTGCTCTACGCGAGCTAATTCGCGGTCTTCCTACGTCAGCTCCGCGCGCTGCGGGTCCAACGCTGCGTGTTCCATGCCTGAATTTGAGCTCGCGTCGCTCGCTGAAGACGGGAACAATCCTCCTGCCCCTCACCTTGACCGACAGCACCATCCTCCTTGGACGCAATCGCAGGCCCGTGCTCCGAGCCCGCACCCAATTTACCAACGCCCTCTTCAATCGCGTCCTCGTTCCCCGACAACTCTGGCCAAGACCCATCACTGGTTGTCGTCGACGAGCACCCCGCGTCTCCGACGGCGTCGGATTCCGTTCCCAATGCCACGCGGTGCCCCGCCAACAACCATTCGGACTCCTCGCCCAAACGAAAGAAATGGCCCCCTCTGCCCGACTCGCGGCCCTCCTCCAATGCAATGACGGCTTCGCTTGCAAACTCCAAGCGCGTGCGCCAACCGCTCGAAGCAAGCGCCCCCCGCCCGCGAGAATATCCGCAGTGGGCAGCCGAAGTGCACGGCCGCGAACCCCATGTCCACAACGATCTTCCCCAAGGCAACCCCTGAAGGCTGCCTGCGCAACCCCAGGGGAGAATGATGCGCACGACCTCTGCCCGCCATCCGGGGCTGCATATGCCCCTCGCCAAAGTTCGCCACCTCTTCTGAGAACGCTGCCGCTTTCGACGCCGCCGCGCTCACCCGAGTGCTCTGCCAGACGCTCAATGCACAACGACATCTCGCCCCTGCGCGCGCCGCGCCCATTGAACTTCGCATCGAAGAAAAAAGCCCGCAGAAGGTTGTCGTAGAAAGAGCTCTGGTCGAAGAGGGCGCCGCGCCAAGTCGTCGACTCCTTCCGAAGCGCCGGCGCTGATAGTTGCAAGTCCCCAGGGCCCAGGCCGCGCCAATTCTCGGGAACGCCCGCGGAATCGCGCGCCATGAGGCCCGCGCTGACATCCGGAAGGTAGCCCAACATAACAGCCAACGGCCTGACGCTATCTCCCTGGCCCCGGTCGAAAAGCGCCGAGCCCATGCGCGCGTGCTCACCGCAATGCGGCCCGCATCAGCCTGCCGTTGTTTCCCTCGCGCGACGTCGTCGACAGCGCGCGGGCAAACGTCGACGCGCGACGCGGCCCCTCACCAACGAGCCTCACCCCCCCGCGCGCTGCCATGGCCCTCGCTGTCGCCACCCCCCCAAAAGCTCAGACTCGATGCGCGCCCGCATGGAGCATTAGAGCCCCTGAAAACAAGCGTGCGCGGCATCCTGCACGCCCGCCCGCCACGGCCATCACCCCGCCCCAGGCCCCAGGCAACTGCTCGAGCAAACGAGCGCGCGCATCGGGGCAGCGCAAAGACCCCCCGGAGGACGGGGCCCCGAAGAGGCCGTGCAAACCGCATGCACCGCCCGCCCGTCAGCGCTCCACGCCAGGCCCCCCCCTCTGTCGAGCCGGGGAGCGGCGGCGCAGAGAAAGTGCGGACATGTCTCTCGAACCACCGACATCTCCCAGTTGACGCGCCTGGCCTGGCTCATCCCCGCGCTCGGATCCGAGCGATTGAGCTGCGCGGCTGCGGAAAGCAGGGGGCGACCGGCGCGCGCCCCTCCCTGTCGCGACAAGCCTGCGCATTATTCCGCGCCCTTCCCTATGCCAACCATCACTCTAACATGCGCCCGACCCCTCGCTAGCCCGCGAGCCCGCCCTCGCCAGCCTAGACGGGCGAGCCTGCCAGACAGGCCTCGGCGCCTTGCCGGCGAAGCCGCAGAGACGCACTGGCAGGGCCTCCGCAGCCTGCCGAGGACACCTCCGCAATTTCCACGCGGAGCCGTCGCGGCTTGCCCCCGAAGCCTCCGCGGCCAGGTGGCGGGGCCTCCGCGGCCCACCGGCGAGACCTCCGCGGCCTTGCGACGAGGCCTCCGCGGCCTGCCGCCGAAGCCCCCACGGCTCCCCGGCGACGCCTACGGCTTG